ATTCACAAAATGTTTAGGGGTATGCAGCCCCCTGCATCCCTCCAGAAAAAAGCACTGTGTGTGTGTGTGTGATACCACACTCACAGTCTGCACTCACAGTCTTCCATTGATTCTGGCAATGAACATGATCCCACCAGGCAGTTTTCTTAGGCAGGCTCACTCTCACTCTCTCTCGCTCTCATTAATTACTGCTCACTCAAAACCTTATGCTGTTTCATTAAGGTGAACAAATTGGAGGAATTAAATAAACAATCCATGTCAGCTTTCCATCGCACTGCCTGTGATCTTACTCTGCTGCTCTCAGAATGCCAACAGCTAAAAGGGGGCTCTTCCCCTTCCTCCTCATTATTCCTGTCCTAATGTTTCCCGTGTTTGAGCCTCTCTTTTGTGGCAATGGCTGGGAGTCTCAAATTAACTCTTCAGCACAGTGCTGGAAATATGGGACATACCAAAGGCAACTACATCTCAGTCCCCCAGGGCATTTAGGGCAGTGCATGGCTCATAATGTGCATAAGCACAAATTTCCATGGACCCCAGCAGAGCACAAACAAGTAGGGGAACAAGAATGGGCGGTAAGAAATATCCATAGCTTCCCTTGGTTTTGTAAAAGGTCTGTGGTTCAGAGGTAAAGTGCTTGCTGTGTGTGAACATGCTTAATATGTTACACCTCCAGGCAGGGCTGGGAGAGAACCCAAGTCATGGAAGGCTGCTGCTGGTCATCATAGACATTACTGAGCTCAATGGACCAAAGGCAGCTTTCTATGTTCCTGTGTGATGATAGGGCAGTGCCTAAAAAGGTCAGTGTGGATGCACATATAAAAATGTAATGGAGTAAGGGTGGCAGCTCAGTGGTAGAAAAACTGCTTTGCATGAAAAAGTTTCAAGGTTCAATCTTCTCTGCACCCACCAGCATCTCCAGGTGGGGCTGGGAATGTCCCCCAGGAGAGCCACTGCCATTCAGTGTAAAAAATATTGAGCTAGATGGGACACTGATCGGACTTAGTGTAAGGCAGATTTCCATCCCCTACTCCAGAGGCGGATGGCAAGCATGCCTCCAATGTCGCATGGACCCTTCCAGCTTAAAACACAGCTCTTGTTTTAAGCTGGACCCTTCCAGCTTAAAACACAGAGCTTTAGCTCTGGGCCAAAACCTCCTGACTTTGAGAACATGCACTACTGGTCTGGTATCTGGCATCACTGGTGATGTCCAGGACCCTGTAGACAGCTCAAATTGCCCATTCCCTTTCTGTTTCAAACAAACAAACTGCTTAATCAAAACAAACAAACACTGCATGGTTTTTCAGAACCAATATAAACTACTCATAAGAAGAACACTGATAAAACAGATCTTCCAGAAGTAGACATTATAACATTTATCAAATATAGTTGAAATTAAAAGTTTTAAAGGTATGGGTGTAGAATAAAGTATATGTCTGGGTTGGATTGCCTAAATGAAAAGGTTTTTTAACAGGCATCAGAAGCAATGAAGGCAGGGAGTTCCAGAGAGTAGGTACTGCCTAAAGGGTTGATTTCTTGTAAGAATAGGACAAACGTTGTGTGCCAGTTGTGCAGATTGAAGCACTCAAGCAGGCATATATGGGGTAAGGCAATCCTTCAAGTAAACTTGCCCCTAAACCTTTAAGGCCTTTATATACTACTAACAACATTTTGAATTTGGCCCAGTAACAGAATGGCAGTCAGAGTAGATCTCTGAGCAGGGGTGTAATAGGCTGACAGGGTCTCACTTCTACCACCAATTCTGATTTCATTGTAATGTCCAGACCAAGCATACAGTAAAGGAAGCCATGCAGAGGGTGTATTGCAGTAATCCAAACTTGGCATCACTAATGCCTGGACCACAGCTTGGAGCAGGAATTTGGGGTGGGCGGGCAGAGGTTAATGCTGGAATCTTCTTACACACTTACCTGGGTGTTAGTATCATGGAACTCAAGGGGACTTACTTCTGAGTAGTCATTGATAGGTTCTCTAACGGAATCAATGAGGGATGGCAACAAAGATTTAAGAGGGAAAGAGAGAATGCATATTTACATGATCAGAGAGGGTAGCTCTAGATAAACTAAAATATTGTTATATCACTTCCTTTCCCAATCAAAAGGTCTTTGTCTCAGTCCCCATAAAAAATGAACAATTTTTTTTCTTTTTTTAAATGCCCATTAGTAATTGATTACATAACACATAAATCCAACCTTCTACAGTCAATGCCAGCAATTAAGTTTTCCTTTCTCGCAAAAGGAATTGAGAAGCTGAGCCCTTGCGTTTTCATGTCTCTGTTTGGTGCAAATTGACTTCTTGGGCTTAGATTGGCTTCACCTATTCTCTTTACTGCTGACTGTACCAATTTACAACAGCTCCATTCTCACGCCAGCTCCTATCCTTTTGTTGAAGAAAAGCCAGCCTGTTGAAAGAATGACATTATCTCATAGCTTTCCCTTCTAAGAAAGGATACAGATCCCCCCCAATGTATCTAAATACATTCCAATTGATGTCATTTGGAAGAAGCACAAATAAATTGCAAGGCTGTAGGATTTGCAATTTGCAATCTCTCTCTTCCCCCTGCACTGCCACTCTCTGTAGCAAGTCTCTCTCCCCCCGCCACCCACCACCACCCCACAAGCCATTCCCTTCACCAGTTTTTCTCCTTCAGTTCTCTATCTACTTTGTCTGAAATGGACCTATCAGCTATTATAATGCTGACTGGCAGTGATGAGGCTGCCAAAATGTGACAACCTTATCTGCAGTACAGCCTGCAAATTGCCAGCCATTGATCCAAGAGCATGGACCATCTGATCAGTACAAGACAAGATGGATTTCGGAGGGGAGGAAAAGACAAAGAAAGACAGAAAAATCTGAATTGCATCTACTGAAAATTGTGTCCAGCGGTTCCTCACCCCCAAACAACACACTCAGGCGGCAGTCCCATGGCCAGTTACATTGAAATACTAGTGAAATCAAGAAATAATGTTAAGGGAGAGCACAGTATTATGATAAGAAGCTGCTGGGGGGGGGGGATTTGCTTCCATTCCCATTTTAAATCCAACCTTCCCAAATTAGTGCTCCACAAAACCGTATGTGAAATGAAACACACCTACCCTTCGAAAATTGTACTTCTCAAAATTTTGCCATGCAGCTTTCCAGCTGAAAAAGTGTACATATTTTATAGAAAATAGCATACAAAAAATGCATTACAGTAGGGGAAATTGCTTGCAAAAATGTGTATATTGGGAGAAATGTGCACAAAAATGCAGATGAATTTGCAGAGGACTTTAAAAAAAAAAAAAGGTGATGTGTAAGTGTTGCAAACTGAATATCTGAAAAATTATAAGCTAAGAGAAACCACAATTGACAGATTTGTCCATGCCTATTCCTATCTCCCAATAACTCTGGGCCTTGCCCTGATGACCAGTGCTTCTTGCGGTTAGCATGTGATTAACCACAATATCCTCCTGGTCCAGCTATGCAGAATGGGAATCGGGGCACTGTGTTACATTGCTACTGGTCCTACCTATGGAACAAAGACCAGAGGGTAGCACTATAAAATTGCCTCCCCCCGCCCCCCCCCCAGTGACTATGGTAACTACGGGTACAGGACACTATTCTATCCCCACTGCTACTTAATATCTATATAAAGCCACTTGGAGTGGTCATTAGGAGTTTGGGGGCAAAGCGCCACCAGTACATTGATGATATTAAGATTAATTTCTCCATAACATCTGAATCAGGAGAACAGTCTCTGGACTGGTGCTTGGATGTAGTGATGGAATGGACTGGGGCGGGGAATAAACTAAGCTAGAATCCTGGCAAGATGGAAGCACTGTAGGTGTGGCACATTGTACACGGAGTGACACATAAAGGGATCGCCCCGAACACATGACAAGAGTTTTAGCAAAGAAGCAGTACTTTGGCACACTGAGGATGGAGGAGTAGTCTGCTTTTGCTAATGGTGTCAGACCCACCACCAGCTCTCTCTGATAAAACCTGATGGATTTCCTTCAGCTTCAGGCAGGATGGGGTTGATGTAAATAGCTTGGGGTTGCAACATCTCCGCGAGAGACAGAAACATAACACTTCTCATTACGTAAGGAAGGAAAAGATGTGAAATATGCTTTATGGCAGATGAACACCTTGGAGGGGAAAAAAACCTTGTTGCACATTATAATGCTTCTCTCTCCCTGCTCCTTTACCTTCACCGAACTCAAATGGAAGAGGGAGATAAATCAAAGGAGACATAGGAGTCTACTTGCAACTAGCTGTTTGGTAATGTTAAAAGAACATTATTTGAGTCATGCAGTGCTATACAGAGCATCAGCCAACATACCTGCTTTTATTCCACAAGGTCAGAGCAGAACAAGATTTGTGGCTTCTATTCTATGCACACTTACTTGAAAGTAAGCTCCAGTGAGCCCAGTGGGGTTTTCTGTACATGCATGGGCAGGGTTGCATGTCTGTTTTTAAGAGGACACATTTGGCATTGTTGTAGAACTGCTCCTCACTTGTGCTAGTCCTTTCCACTTTCTATCTAAAACTATAGGGTGTGTGTGTGTGTGTGTGTGTGTGTGTGTATCACATGTAGAGGTGGAAAGAGTGGCCTGGTTTGCTTCTCATACAAATCCTGCCATGGGCCTCTTGCCTCTGCCAGCAGCTGGCACAATTTGTAACTCCAAATGCAAGAGTTGGAGGAGAAGCTGATGGGGGGCTGGAAGGTAGGCTCTCAGGGATGGAGGGGAGAGATTCTCCTCTTGTAACTCTAGATGTTAGAAAGGAAGGAATAGGTATGCCACCTCTCTCCACCACCACTCCAAAGTACTCATTTGCATTTGTAAGAAATCAATCTGTTAGAGTGGCAGCACCCACAATTTGGAACTCCCTGCCTACTCAGGGAGGCATCTTCTCTGTACTCTGTTGTCATTTTGGCACCTGCTGATAATAAAAGTCTACCCAGATATGCAGAATGCCTATATGTGTTTTAATCTGCTTTTAGCTAATTGTTGATTTTAACTATTATTTGAATGTTTTAAATAGCTGTTTCTTTTAACTTTTTTTTTACTGATCATTTTATTCTTTTTGTAAACTGCTTTGGAGTGTGTGTGTGTTTTACAATCAAGCAGTGCATAGATTTTTATAAAATTAATAAAATGTGAATTGAATCAAATTTATTTCCTAATTCTAGCCTCACGGGGGGGGGGGGGGGAGATACTTCTGAGAAGTTCAATTACTTGTTTTCCCTATATTTTTCGGAACTCTTCACAAATGTCCATTGATTTGAAGAATCCTAATTTTTCAGTGTCTATATAGGAGATTTTGTAAGATTTGGGTCCATTGAGGAAAACCATTAAATTCTAAATATGCCTGATATTGCGCTCTATAATCCCCTCCAAAACTGTGGGGTGGGCGTTTCCCTTAAAAAGAAGAACATGCTTCAAGGGTGGAGGGAATAACAAATGTAGCAACATTCATGTCCATTCATTCATGTATGGAGACAAAATAAACTTGCTTGTTATGTGTCGCCTTTAGCCCTCAAGTCTCCAACCTTCACACTCTGTCCCTGTTCAAGTCAATAAGTGGTTTAGATTAACAGTAATTCCAGGGAGTTAAGTTCAAAACCTGACCTGTGGAAGAAGCAGGCTCTGAGTCCCAGGGCGCCTTCCACTGCCTTTAATTACACGGCACTGTTCTAGCCTCTTACAGTGCCAGACACAAAGGAGCAATTTCCTCCCCCCTTGCTTATATTCTGCTATGTCTTCAAATACCAAGGGTCTTTGAGCATAACTTACATTAGCACACCATTATGGAACAGAATCCGAAGGGAATCACCCAAAAGCAAAGGCTAAGTCTATTTGCAAAATAAAGAAATCCAACATGAAAATGAATTGGAATCAAGGCAGGAGCTAGAAATGTTGTGCTGATGGGGTCTTAAAAGTACATGGGTTGTGGGGGGAGAAAACTGAGTGATAGAATCAATGCCAAACAGCCAGAGCCTAAATACAGGCAGTCCAATATGTTCAAATGTATTCAACTAATAATATGTCATTTAAATGTTAAAACATCAACTGCTTGTTTTTGACATTTTTGGACAGAACAATGAACTACAGAAGAACCATGCTTGCTACAGTATATTGGTTGCTCTGTTGCATGTTGAAGGTCCGAATTTAAATGATCACATAGTACATGATGGGGGTAGATTGCTTTCTGAATCCCTGGAAAGCCAGTGCCAGTTTAAGGTAGACTGGGAATAAACAATATGTGGCCTTCCGTCTCCCATCAGCCATAGTCAGCATAGCCAATGGCCAGGGATGGTAGGAATGGAGTCCAATACATGGAGGGCCACAGGTTCTCCATGCCTGGAAGAGACAATACAAAGTAAAATGGACAAATGGTGTCTCTTGACATAAGGCAGTGTTCTATGTTTCTAGTGGAAACCAGTAACACATTCTCTTCCTTTGGAGCAGTAGGACAGAATAGGTTACTTCCCTCTTCCATCTGACAACCTGTCAGACATTTGAAGGTGTTTGTTTTTGTAAGGATTCAGGATAACACATGTAAAGTGCTTTGAATGTTCTAAAACACGGTGCACACATGTGTCTAATTTGGGTTCAGTGCAATGGGATCTACTCAAAGGAGTAGCTTCATTAGAAATGAAGAAGATGCTAAGGATTTGCAAATCTGTTTTCTTCCTACTCCTTTGCATTCAATATTAAAATGCAAATGCAAATACCCTACAACATAAACACTTGTGCCTCATTAAAAGATCTATCAACCCATCCCTCTGCTAGAATTAAATCAATCATTTATTTGCTCTGCATGTGTGCTGTATTTGGAAAGAAAAAAAAAACAAACAAAGAGGAAGGGGAAGGGGGGGGGTGATACAATGAAATCAATAACACTTTGATGTTTTCTCCCCCAAGTAGCTTAAAACGAACATTGAAAGATGCATCACTGTATTTCAGCAGTTAATGAGAACAGTGTAATATAGAAGTTTGGTATTTAACCAGTAGGCCTTTAATGCGCTTCTTTTTCAGCATGACTGAAGATGATCCCTGGTTCAATGCTCTGGTGTAATCAGGAGATGGATGTAACCAGGCATTTCTTGTTCACTAGAGGCTCCTCATTATTTCACATAACTACAGATAGAACATGAATAAATAATAGCCAAATTCCTATAAGCTATTTGTCCAGGCATTTTTTGATTTGCCCTCTTCTTGCAAAATGGATATTGGTGGTCATATGAGAGACTCTTCTAAAATGAAGACATGCTGAAGCATTGGTCTTAAAGAGCACATTCCAAATATCAATAAGGATAGCAAAGTGAGACACAGGCAGATCTGATCCACTAATGGCACAATCTATGAGGAATCTCTCCAGCCTAAGCACTACCATGAGGCTTGCATAAGACAGGATGCCATTCTGAATGTTATACATCAGTGAGCGACCTGTCCCTTGGGCTTGTGCTGAGGCGGTCCAGTTGAATCCATTAAGCACATGCATGAGGGGATTAGGAACACAGGGCTGTCTTGTACTGAATCAGACCATTGGTCCATCTCATTCAATACTGTCAACAATGACTGGCTCTTCTGGGCTGTATTTACTCTCCAGGGAGCATTCCCAGCTATACCTAATGATGCCAGGGATTGGATCTGGACCGTCTGCATGCAAAATAGATGTTCTATCACTGAGCTATGGAGTTGTGAGCCATAGAAACTGACCCTACCTTCCACCAGCTGCACGTTCACGCATGATAGCAATGAGATTCCATGGACTTGGAGCTTATCTACACTTACCATTTGTCCCACTCTTTCCAGGCACAGATCCACACTCACAAGCTCTGTGGCTGAGCATTGTAGGTTTGCTTGCTTGCTTGCTTGCTTGCTTTCTCCATGAAAATCTGCTCTTTAGCACTCAATTGGAGCAAATGTGAATTTGAGTCTTCTGCAGATTGCTGTTTGCTCCAGTTGAGCTTTAAAGAGCTTTAAAGAGCTCTGGAGCAAAACAAAGAACACTTGGACACAGAGCGTTAAAGCAAAGAGCATGCCTGGAAAGAGAGGAGGCAAATATGGATAAACCCTTGGTCAATATCATGCATGGAACAAATAAGAAGACTACAACACACCCAGAATCCTCTGGAGTCCCATGTCAGACAAGCCAATGCGAAGATGTGCTCTCCAGATGTTGCCCTCTAGATGTTGAGGGACCACTGGCTATACTGTCTGGGACTTAGGGGAACTTTGAGTCCAACATCATCCGGAGGATCACAGGTAAGCCACCCTTGTCCTACAGCTGAAACGGGGAACCTGTGGTCCAGCTGTTGATCAACTCCAACTCCCATCTCCTGCAACCAGCATAGCCAACACAGTCAGAGATGATGGGAGATGAGCATTATAGGTGGTTGGACTAGATGACCCTTGTGGTCTCTTCCAACTCTATAAATAGTCTATCATTCTATGATAGTCAGAAACCATCTATATAGGTTAGTCATTCATGCAGTAGAACAAGCTAGGCATGGAGGAATTGCTTGTACCTGCACATTTCCAAGATCCTCCCACCCCCCCATACTTCTATGGCTGTGCCACTGAAGCAAGAAAAGGAAGAGATAAATGTAGAGAGGCTTATTGTTGTTACTGGTCTGTTTAAAATATCACTTTCTACAATACATTTTTATTGGGGTGATTGCTTCCTTTCAGATTTGACGCTCACATCAATCTTTTTCAGGATTCACATTGAACCATTAAATATTATCATTTGCCATAGCAACTAAAATTATTTCAATTTGCACAGGTTTTAACCATAGATATTAGATGAGTTATACTAAGCACTTTGGGGTTGTTAAGAAGGAAATGGGTGAGTATTCCAAGAGCAGATATTTACATCCAGGCTCAGAAATAAGTAGTTAATGTCTTTCTGTTGTTGTTGTTGTTGTTGTTGTTGCAGCTGTTCTTTCCACACACATTTTTATATTATAGTAATTTTAAGCAGACAACTCAGTGAAACAACTCTGATAAACTGACCCACAGGATAGCCTGAAATCACCCTTCTAACCAGGTATTTCCTCTGTGCTACATATTATGGGGTGGGGGGTGCGAGAGGCTGAATGTTGTGCCTTTACATATACCTAACAGCAAGAGGTGTGCACAAATTTGCTATAAATGTTGTAAACAAGACAAGGGCAGTGTATGTAGAAGTAAGTAAATCATTTGGCATAAGTTAAGAACTGCTCTGGAGAAGAAGAAAAATCACTTGAGCCTTGATCGGGATCCAATCCTTTCTACTGAGGTTCAAACAGGCTTGTGGAAATATCGCTATTCCTCTTGTTTGGCTCCAGAAGGCCCCCTAGCTAGGAGGAAATCCAATTTGCAGTCAGAAGGGTCGACAAATCTCACCTGGACATCTGTTCATTTTGTTCCACCCTAATCAAAAGCAGGGCTGCTTGGGCTTCCCAGCCCCAGGGGGCAGTGGTGTGAGCTGGTGTGGCTCTGTCATGGTCCCACAATCTGCAAATATTTCTGAGCACATTTGCAGGAAGCCAGAACAGCAGGAAAGCATAAAAAATGAACTACTCGCTTGAATAGCACATGTCTTGTGTGGTGGTCTGAAGAGTGTCAGAAAAGATAAAGCAGGAGAAGACTCGGGGATTGGAATCATCAGAAGGGGAATATAGGGGGAGGGAAGAGAAGCAGTATTCTAATTAGTACAGGAGAAAAGAGGCAGAAAGAACTGTTAATTTGGAATCTATTAAGAAGTTATGTCTATATTTGGTGTATTTTTGTTTTCTAACATTTATATCTCACATTTCCCCCCATAGTGGAATTCAAAGCAACATACCTGTGGTTCCCAGGTACAAAGGTTGGAAAAGTCACACAAAAATGGAAACAGGGTAGAAATTGCTGATGTTCAACTTATTTGCTTCATGTCTAGAATGGAAATCAATCCATTGCATATGATCTGTATTTATTATTTCTGCTTTCATTGCACGTATGATGCGTAATTGATTAGCTCACACACACACACACACACACACACACCTGCATTTGCACTGTGTTTCCTTTGTATTGAAAAGAAAGGGGTAGAGTAACATATTGACAATGTAACTTACATGATTTATGTAATTTACATAAATTATTTGCATTGCATAATTTCATCACAGTGGACAGCAAGCTGGATAATGTAGTTTGTGGTGGAAGATGAACTGCAGTAGAACAGTAGCAATGGTTAGGGAAGATACATGAGACCAGTGCTTTGTGAAAATTAAGCAGATCTGTGCAGTGTCCTGGGAATCAGTATATTTGAAAGGGTGTGTGTGCATGCGTGCTTTTGAGCTGTTTCACTGCAGTCCAACCTTCTACATTGCCAGAGCTGAATATGTAGTCCACCGCATTGGAGCGGGCTGATGGGAGTTAAAAAGGTAAAGGGACCCCTGACCATTAAGTCCAGTCACGGACAACTCTGGGGTTGCACTGCTCATCTCGCTTTATTGGCCGAGGGAGCTGGCGTACAGCTTCCGGGTCGTGTGGCCAGCATGACTAAGCCACTTCTGGAGAACCAGAGCAGCGCATGGAAATGCTGTTTACCTTCCCGCCAGAGTGGTACCTATCCAAAAGGTGGGCTATAAATTTTAACAGCACTGGCAACGTGGTTGCAAGAGAATGGTGAGGTCATAAACTGAGGTGAATTTACGGCTGTGCGAACAATTCCCCTGCACAATGCCCCAAGTCAAGGGAGACCTTCTCGCCTCCTTTCCAAAGCCTAGTAAATCCTAGCTTTGGAAAGAAGGTGAGAGGGTCCTAGAGTCTTCCCCACTCCTTCCCAAAGTCCATTAAGCCTTTGCCCAGCTTTGGGAAGGAGTTGGTAGGGCTCTAGGACCGTTCCAGTGCCCTCACATCTTCCCAAGGCCCAGCATCTTGCTTACCAGGCTTTGGGAAGATAGCATGATAGCTTGGAGGGGGTATCAAATTTTCGCCTCATACAGGGCACCAAGTTCCACCCCTGTCATAACCCCACTATACTGTAGCAGTGGAAATGAAGCTGAATGGCAATGGCAGCAAAATATGTTCTGTTCAAAGAGATGAGGGGAAAGGGAGAGAAGGTATGGGACCTTGGGAGAGTGCACAAAGAGAGAATTCTGAAAGCTTACCTTCCTCTTATTGAATTCGTGGACACTAAACTAAGCAGCCATTTGCTTTGATATATGTCTTCTGCGGTATTTGTTATTTTCTGAATTATTTAAACTGCCTAACAAATAGAGCAGAGAGGAAAAAGCAATATAGAAACTGGCCTGCTAGACAGCTTCCTGGGGGCATCTGGTTAGCCACTGTGTGGGAAGATGGATGATGGACTCCTAGATGAATGGGCGAGGGAAACCTCCTGTGCAGTCCCATTGTGTTCTGCAGTGAAATTGCCTTCAAGACTCTCCCTGGCCACACTCAACCTCATCCACACCCACTTCCCCAAAATACCTCCATCACCAACCCTACTTCATACCCCTCTTGAGTGGCTTTTGCTTCCTTGCATGTGTGCTTGAATGTTGACAAGCCTTATCGGTTGCATATATGTAGGACAGAGAGGTGTCTCTCTTGTGCAGAGGGACTAACCTACTGTACAAAGGTTTCCCCTACTCTTGCCTCTGACCATGCCTACCATTAGCTTGTGGCTCCCAGAAGACATCGTTGCCCTTGATCTAGAAAGGATTCTCCACCCCTGCACTAGATGGAGCTTTTGGTCTGATCCAGCAAGAATCTTTTGAGGTTTGCACAGAACAGGAGACGAGTAAAAAGTGTTGAGGGCTTGTAACAGAGAAGTGTGTGAGCAGTGCTGGAGACTTTTTCTCCCCTTTCAAGCTCTGCAAAAGGGTTTTGGTTCTCTGCTTTGGTCCCCTCCCCAGTCTCTTTCCCTCGATCCCACACGCTGCTCCCTCTGCCGACTGTGATAATAGAGAGCGGAGCAGCTTTTCTGTCCTCTGCTGATTTTGTAAGATAGGAAGGCAGGGAAATAGATGAGGCCGGGAACAGTGAGATGCAGCAGAAGTTCCTTGAATGCGCCTGACAAATTACTCTCCCTCGCTGCCCTCAGTCTCCCCCGTTGCTGGGGAATGACTACTGGCATTGTGGTGACTAACAATCTGTATTCCGTTCCAGCTGTGAGCTCTGCACAGTACTTTTGTGAGCCAGAAGGATCGTTTCTCATTCCTCCTAATGTGTTTTCACACACAGCTACATGATCGTGTATCAGCTATCACATTTTAACAGGGAGCTTCAATATTTCTCAGGCTCCAAATTTGTTCAAGCTAGGCTCTCTAAGGAAGAAGCGCAAAAATTGCATAAATATCAAAGGCACTTAAAAAATATCATGTGGCTGAGGAAGGGGGGAGTGCACTCATATTCAGCTCTGGCAATGCAGAAGGTTGGACTGCAGTGAAACAGCTCACAAACATGCATAATCATTATATATATATATATATATATATATATATATATATCTATATCTATATCTATATATCTATATAATGTCAATTTATGTTCTTTCACTTTCTCACCCCCCCAACTTAAGTTCTTCATAATCTATACCAGTATGCAATGTTTTCCTTTTCTTTCTTTTTTTCCAAACTCACAAATTTCACCTTCCAGATATTTATTGATTTCTACAAATTCCTCCCCTCTTATTAATAGCCTTAAAATAAATTGAAGTTTCAATCATATACACAAAAAAGAAAAGAAAAAACATATACTTTATCTTTTCTTACCTATATATAAACCTTGAACTTCTGCTGTATTTATGTTAACTCTTAAGCGATTATTAAGAAAAAATATTATCAAAAATTCTTAACAAAAAATATCCTAAGGACTTTGGACTTCCTGTCAATTCCTGTTGTATAATTTTATTTTGATAGTGAACGTGCCTGCCATTATTACTCTATTCTTTACATATTCTCTAATACATTCTTACAACAATTTGCAATCTTTTCTTGGGGGGGGGGGGGTTGGCAAATTTCTCCTAACATATACACTTCCTGTATGCAGTTTTATTTATTTATTCATAAAAACAATATGCTGCTTGATTGTAAACAAACAAACAAATCCCTAAGTGATTTGCAATGAAAATAGGAAAATTATCACTTAAAGGCAAATATATTTTAAAAATTAAAAAATAGCAATAAACTACAAAATAAAATAAAATATGGGCATTCTACTTGTCTGGGGAGGTGCTGACAAGTGTACCATGAAGGTACCTACCTGATGTCAATAGGCAGGCAGTTAAAAAGTGCAGGTGCTGCCACACTAAACAATTGAGTTCTTACAAATGTGGAACTGGTATTATGTGGCACCTGCAGTAGTGCCAATTCTGCCAAGCCCAAAGATGCAATATGTTTTTCCTTGTTTTATTGTTGTTGTTATTAAAGTGGCTTGTGAATCTAGCACCATCCTCTCCAGCATCTAGATCTCAAAGTCCTACCTGCAGTCTGCAGCTATATAGCTTCGCCATACCATTTATGTTCCTCCCCTTTCCCAACTTGTTATATTTGGGAAAACATCTGAAAGCAGGAAAGGAAGTAAGGAGATCACCAGTGAACTCCCTGAGGCTGGACCAAATTGTATACTATCATGTATCTGTGAAGTACAAAACCAAAACATTTTATCTCAAATACAAAATTGGTTGCTCGTAGTTTTGTTTTGCTTTGAATCCCCTTACAGTGTCTTCCCAAGAATTGTTTCATCTTGTAAACCGATTCAGCATAGCTCTAAAGGTTTTTCTTCTTCTTTTAAGAAATCATATCTTGGTATTGAAGGGAAGTGGAGAAGCCAGACAAAAAAACAGCCAATCAGCCCAAGTGGACGTGTTGACATCCCCAATGACAAGAGAGCAAATTGCATTCCACATATGAGATTGCAATGAAAACACCATTTAATTTGTTTCTATTTGCACCTGTAGGGCCAAAGCCCCACTGCTACCTCCTTAGACTGACCAGTCAAGCTCTAAAATCTCTACTGAAGTTGCAGCTATCGGTAAAAGTGCAAGAAAGACAAGATCATGTACACACACACTAACCCCCCCCCCAAAAAAAACCCAGTTTTTATGAGGAAGGAGAGAATAGGTTGGTGCGTAGCATAGATAAAGTAGCAAACACAGGCTTGGTTTGAATTTAGAAAGAGGAAAACTGCTGTGGTCCAAGGAAAGAGGCAAAGAAAATGCAAGAGCACTCTCTTGATAACACGTTTAGGTCCCCAGAGTCTGCTGCCTCGATCACAATCAATGTCTCTTCCATTGTGCTGAGTCTTGTTGGATAAAAACAACAGAAAAAAAGTCATCCAGGAACTAGGAAACTTATTTCGCTGTAGTCAACATCTTCTCCTCACTGGATGCTGGCCATTAACCCTTCAAGGGATGAGTATGAA